CCAGCACCTGTGACCGGCATCTACAGAGTGCAGGAGCACAGGCAGGAGCAGTTCTCTCTGTGCCCAGCGAAACATGATTCAACTCCTGTCAGAAGCACTTGTTCACATCACCACATGGAAATCCCAGATGCCCAATTACTGGAATGAAACTGGACCCGATCCGGCGTTGCGAACGGAGGCAAAATTTTGCGACCGGAGCTGTTCATGACCCGAATTGGTCGTGAACGGAAGCGTTCGTGTACCTTATTCAAAGTCCAGCCCCCCCCACCCCCGCCCCAGTGGAAGGGAGGGAATTTTCCATTTTTTGATTTTCTTTATTACTTTCCTTCTCTTATGTAGGGAAATTCTGTACTTCTGATGCAGGACTGAATGCATCTTTTCTAAATTCTAGAATGCACAGATGTCCATACCTAACCATGATGACAAAACATGTGATATCATGACACAGGCTGCATGACACAAGCTACATTGCAACTAGAATGCTAAAATGTCCCTTATGAACTTGTATGCATTGCTCTTTTTGCCTGCCAGCCTCCAAAGACTGCACCCATTTTCATAGCATTTGGAGGGGAGCTACAAGGTCAAAGGGAGATTTTAGAACTAGAGCCTTAATTCAACTTACGTTCCTAGCTGAGTTGAACCTAGCTCTAATACGTATCTGTGTTGCAACAAAAGCCAAAAAACATTTCTTCAGTCTTTACGGGAAGGAATATTCTGTAAGATGGTATTTACTTTCATTCTTATAAGTATTTCTATGAGCATTTTAAAAATCTACAGGATGTATTGGTGAATGTCTTAATTTTGGAAGGGTTTTTTTTTTTTGTACAGGAATTATTATCCTTTTCCTATTTTGTTCAAATATAGTATTTTTTATATATATACAAAATTTATAAATGAATTTGGTAATAGATGTAATACTTTTAAGAAATGCTTTTTCTAGTATAATCAGCTTCTGATTTTTTTGAACAAATACTAATCTGCTCCTGGAAATGTATTGCCTCATTAGGACTCAAGGTGATCCTGTTCGCATTAGACACTCACATTCTCCCCGAAGTTATCGCCACTATCGACGATCCCAGTGCTCTGATGGAGAGAGATCTGTTCTGTCAGAAGTGAAGTATGTTAATCATTGAGGAAGGTGGATGGTTGTTTTATAAATGTTACATGCCAGTTAGATAGCATGCAGCTTATAACAGGATGCTTGGGGAACACTTGCTAGGATATTTAGCTTCCTGGGAAATTATTCAGGAAAACTTGGGTGGGAAAGGTAAGTGACTGGCATTTTGACTTGTTACTGAATTCTTCATTCTGTGATGACTAAAAGGGAATCTACACCTTTATTGACAGGGTGATGGACCTCCTTGTTTTCAGAAATAGCAAACTGCGCTAGACATTCTGCCCTATCAAATGAAAAGGCAGGACTCCTCATCAAGAATGTCTAACACAACTAGGGTAAAAAGCACAGAGTTATCTCTGAAGTTTAGTGTAGATAAAAATCAGGAACTGAATGGTTTACTCAAAGGCGAGCTCTTGTAGTTCCTTCCTTTTATTCCATAAGCACATGCATTTTGAAGCTTCCTTTTTTTTCTAGTGCCAAAGCAGAACTTGTGCCTCCGCTACCAGTTACCCGCTCCTCAGATGCTCACTGTCCCACCACTGCAGTATCTCAACAGGTTAGTAATGGCTTTTAATTATGCTTGAATAGTTACAGTGCAAAGATGTTTAAAATAGTTTTTACTGTTGCTTTAAATTCTGGAACAATAGTCATCAAAGTTTATATTAAAATCTAGTATGCTCATAATAGGGTAGTCCTGTTGCAGGATTGGAGAGACCGAAAATCAATTAATTATTCTTTTCTGTGTTCAATATTTGTTTACTTCAGCGGCGAAATGGATCTAAGGACAGCCTGTTAGAAGAAAAGGTACAAACATCTTTCAACAATGTGGATGGAAAACCCAGTGCTAAGACTATAAAAATTGTCCCAGCATCAAGGCTTAAGATAGAGACCTGAATTTTATCACACAGAGGACTGCGAAGGAATGCTGCATCTTGAAATCCAAATAAACACCTTTAGCTGGAGTTGTTTTTTTTTTAATTTAAGAGACTGTAAAATAATCTTAAGAACATTCTGGATTGCTGTGGAGAAGATGCTGTTTGGGTTTCAGTAAAAAAGAAGGCAGCTGCCATCATGAGCATAAAACTAAAATGCAAGTTATCCAGATAATAATGGACAGATAGCCCAAGTGTTGTCATTATATGATTTCAAAATGGAGGCATCAGTACAGGTTTCCAGAATCAGTGCATTTATCAAAGGTGCAATAGTAGATGTTCTTTATTATAAGGGCTGTAATTCATATGCCTATACTTGCCTAGCAAATACGTACTCCTTTATTCAACAGTGTTGAATCTTTTGTTACCTGACAGAACGTCCTTAATACAAAGAATTAATCATGAACATTATTAAGTTATTCAAACCCAGATGACCTTTCAATGAATTGATTACAGTTTAATTCTTAGTAAAATAATGTTTTAAAATACAATTCAGAATATTGCCAAAGTTATTAGTACATTTACTTGGTTCTCTAAGCACTGAATAGTAGTAACCAATGCAGAAAACATGGTTTTGTTTGAAATCTACAGCAAGCATATATGGCAGTTTTTACAGATCTCCTGGGTATGGTTGCAGTTTTCTAAACAAGCTACTACTATATTTGAGTGAAATATAAGACCAGTATCCTTTTTGTTGGTATTTCTAAAATTTCTCAGCAATAGGCCCGATAGTGATGTTACTGAAGGGTAAGGACTGAATTTTTCCTGTCTTTATTCCATTGGAGGTGGGTGGAGGGTGGGGGGTGATAGGCATGTAATGTCTGAAATTAATTTGATTTCCTGCTGAGAATCAGTAGCTTGCTGAATTTTGGCAGTACAATTTTGTAACACTCTGGGAATAGCAAAAAGAGTTGGGGAACTGTGGATTCTTCATTCCTGTAGTGTATTTGAAATGATTCTGCTATTTAATTCACAAGACCACTTCCAGCAGAAACAAACATGGTTAGTACTGGAAGGGACTGTAGGAAATAGTAGATTATACATGCTGTGCAAAATCTTTCTGAAGTCCTTGTTAGGCAAGGTGATAAAAATACAGAGACCATTTCCCTAGTTTATTTGCTTGAATGAATAGGTTAGTTGCCCTTCTCTTCCTTTTCAGAGCCAAATTAAAATTAAAAAAAAAAAGAGAGAGAAATATGATTTACAATTACTGCTACCATATGTATCCACTTGAATTTCTGAACTGCTTTGAAGATGTGCATTTATAAGTACAGCTCAACCAGAAGACATGTTGAATGTAGGAAGGAACATAGGTTTGCTTAGATCTGACTATCTAGAAATTAGTTCTAGAAAAGAAGGTTCCATCTGAAAGGGGTATTGTAAAATGCTGCTAGAGCAGCAAATTCAAGATGGCCATCCTAGAAAGGGCTCCCAAAATGGTTGCACAAACTCAACTTTTGATGTGGTATGTGTGTACTATTAAAGATTTGAGATTAAGAAAATGCATCAGTTTTGACAATGCCGATTTGAACAAAATTGCAATATGGCAGAATATATGAAATTGATTTGCCATTGCTTTTCTTCTATTAAATACTGTTGTTACCATTTTTCCTAGATGTTTTTCTGTGTACTTGATCATTTATGGAGGAGATACAGGCGTTTAATATGCATGTTTTTTTAAGTGAATGGGTACTTGTGCTATGTACATAAAAATGACTTGAGATACACAAATTGAGAAAAATAAACCACATACTTTCCAATCTCTGTTCACTACTGATCTGATCAGTAATTTTCAGTCAGTTGATCTGAATCCTATCAGAATTAAAGATATTAATTGAAGCTGAATTAAAACTTGAGATTATATTACTATAAGTAATTACAGAACTCCATATGTAATTACAATATTGAAGATCCCTGAAAGGACTTGTTATAAATTCCATGGCATAGAGGAAATCAAATTATATAGAGGTTATTCTTGGCAGCCTTATTGGAGAGAAAATGTTGCAAAAAAAAATGGGCTTGAATAACCATTTCCAATATAGTTTGCAAATATTGGATTCCTCTGAGTGTATTTATGCTTTGCTTGATTTTGATCTCCCCTTTCAACTTAAACATTAAAGCTTGTTTCATTTAAATCAACGATAGGTAGAGCACTGACATCAGTGGTATAGTGGCCAAGATGCTGAATCTAGTCTATTCTCCACAGGAACTCACCAGCCAACTTCAGGCCAGTAACTTACCTCAGCACAGGATAACTAACAGTCACTGCTTTAAGAAGAACAAATGGTCAAAAGGGCCATATGAGCCATCTTGAGCTCCTGCAGCAGGAACTGAAATCAAAAATCAAGAGTCTGTGGCTCTTATTCTGGGCAGCCATAAAGCGTTTTGTCTATGAACCTGTTGAATGTTTCAGCCCCCAAAGATACAGTATTGCAGGAATCTACTTGCGTGCCTTCACCCTATTTGTTTTCTTTGGTATTCCAGCTGTCTGAGGTTCTGTTGGGTCTTCAAATATGAAGCCTTTAATTTTTTTTACACTGCTAGACATTTCCATCATACACTTGCTAGAGGAGTGTCAAGATTGTCTTCAGCTTCACAGAAAGGCAATAGGTGTGACTGCTTTCATGTTTCTTGAGTATTTCCACTTTAGCCAGACCAGTAGAGCTAGTTGCTAACTTCTATGATTTATCAGGATTTTATTTAGTATATTTTTTCATAGTTCCTCAACTTCAGAACTATGAAAACTGAAAGCCAGCTGTTCTAACCTAATCTAAGACTGCCTTACCCATTGGCATTCATGTTTGTGCTGGAGATTTACCGCATAAATCTGGCTCCCAACAGTTGTGTGGAATAACAAGAACCCTCAGTACTCTGCAACTCAGTATAAGTCTTCCTTTTGAAATAAAAAGTAGCATTTATTTCAACAGGTGCTGCTTTTTGGATATAGAAGCTGTCAGAAGCTGTTTAATTCTATGTGGTTACGCACATGTATGTGATAAACCAATAGGAATCTCCAAAATATTTCAGCCATAAAGCAGGTAGCTCTAGGTGGTCCTTGCCCAGGTCTTTTTTTTTTTAAATTTTATTGTAATTTTTCAATATAGTAAAAATATACAAAACGAGAAGTAAAAAAAATGAGAAAGTTATGCCTTCCATCCCTCTATTAATTGCCATCTTATTCTTTTCCCTATTCTCTTTGACCCTTTTAATCCCCAAATCCAGAAATCATCAATTCAGTCTTTTCTTCTTTCAACAAAAAGTCCATATAAAGTTTCCAGTCTTTCAAAAGAAGTCTTTTATTCTTTCCGTGACCAAACTGGTCAGGTTTGCAGTTTCTGCAAGTTCAGTTCCTTTTTATAATCCAATCTTGTCTTTGCCCAGGTCTGACGTGTACCAGCTTGCCCTAAAAATTCAACTTGCCTCTGGATTTTTATCAGCCCAAGCTTGTTCAGGTTCAGCTAAATGTTCAAGCCCCTAAGTGTTCTGTAGGCAGAGAACAAAATATATTTTCTACCTTGTGTGCACTCCTCCAAGCCAATCAGAAATATTTTCTTATAATAACTCTTTTTCTTGCCAGCTACTCAACCCTTCAACACAAGGGAAAAAAACAAATCCACTCATATTTCACAAACGTGGAACCAGATTCTGAAGAGCATGCAAACTGCAGTGCTGCCATATATATTCCATATCTTGGGTGCCCCTTTGAACAAACTCTCCCCCTCTCATTCACTTAAACATAGCGTGAAGAGATGTTTCAACTACTTTTAATCCTTTTCCTTTTCATGGAAAGTAGAACTGTAGATTCGACATTGAATCCAAAGAAGTGGGGGATGGGAATCCATTTGTAAGACACCCAAGAAGATGAGTGATATAAAGCTCACCAAAAGCTAGTAGAAAAGCTCTTTTGTCCCCAGGCAGCTTGCTGGTCCATTGTCATCACACTTAGCCTTACCATTGCTCACACACACTACTTTCAAGCCATCAAGTGGCACCTGAATCAGAGATAGAGCAAAACAGGATATGAGAAGGGAGGGATTGAGGGTGTCTGCTAAAGAGAAACCTGCTAGATGATTGAGAAATATAATGGTTGCTGCAGCTTTTCCACAATTTTTTATGTAACAATGGCCTTGCTTTTCTCTATTGGCTGGGCTGTTTTCTTACTACCCAGATTACTACAAATTACATGGTCAAGAAGTCCCAATCTGAGAAGGTGCTCCATTTCTGAAGAGCCTACTGACATTTCTCCCTATGGTTGCTTGAACAGAAGATACACTTTCACTGAAACAGATCATTCTGATGGTGCTGCTGGCCACTGCTGCCTGCCTGCTTCCTTCAACATTAATAAAAGCCTGCAATGCTTGCAGCTCAACTCTATGAAGAAACCTGCCTAGATCACTAGTAGCCTTGTCCTTCCACCGTCAAACTGAACCACCTGATGGACCGTGTGAGCAAATTACAAGATACCTGCAAAGAGGGCCTCACACATGACCTTTAACCAATGTTGGCTTCCAGCATTTGCCTACCCAAGTGAAAAGTTCACAACCTCAACCTCTCCAGCTTCCACACATCAAAGGTGAATTGTAGTCACATCCAGTACCTATCTTCATATAAGGAGCGCACCACTATTTAGCTGATTATCTGGGTCTCTTTGGGGAAGTTCCACTCTTGGTTTGTCAGTAAGAACTTAATGGTACAAAATAAATGGCTTCACTTGCTGAAAAATGGGAAACCTGCAACCAGATAGAGTTTCTTTCTCCCGCATTTGTTGCTGCCTGTTTGCAGAGGTGCCAAGACAAGCGGATGTTGCCAGGTAGTTTACGTCTTGCCCTGGCTGAGCCAGCAGTTACCGTGGGACAAACAACAAAGCAGAGATCTGTGTGTAATTCTTGAGTGAATGTGTGAATCCTGTCTTCCTTTACATCCACTGCCACTGGAAACAGGCTCAGCAGAGGGCATTCAATACACTGAAGAAAGCTTAGAGGGGACTATACAGCAAAAATTGTTTCTCCCTTGAGATTTTCCCCAGCAATCTCATCCTCCTCTACAGAAAGCATTTCCAGTTGCCTGTGCCACAGCACCACCAGTCTCTGTGGTACCTGGCACAGAAGAAACCATCACATGGCTGTCAGAGGAGTCATTTCTATACCAGAATGGACAGAGAGCAGCAGGGCAGCAGGAAAAGCCCAGGCAGAATCAAGGAAGGTAAAGTGTACGGACTGGAGAAAGACACAGGACCACACAAGAAAGAAAAAAAATTTAAGAAGAGTATGTTTCTGCTCCCAATTGACCCGGCATAAATAAATTCCTTTTTTTCCTTTGCTATACAGGCATAGTTTACTTTGTCTCCCTGTGCTGCTCATACACAACTTTCCAGATCCTTTTTTCCTCTACACCAGTGATTCTCAACCTTTTTGAAGCTGCCGCCCCCCTAAGGAGCGGAAAATTTTTCAACGCCCCCCTTTGGGAAAATCCTGTAATTGAGGGTTTTGGGGGGGGGGAGTTACTGAATTATAAAAGGCAAAAATTTTAAGCAATTTAATTCGAACAAATCCGAACTTCAAATACATGGAACTGTATTGACGACACTTTGTATTAACTGACATCGTTGGCGGCTGCAAAATATGAGGGAAAGGTAACTATTTCTCAAAATTAATAATTCACGGACCACGATAAAGAACTAATAAGCGCACTTACCTAGCCGACTGGCCAAATAAACAATGAAAGTAAATCGAAACTGAGGGGAAAAAACAGAAATGAAGTGAACGAAAAGCAACTCA